CCTGATTTTTTGATTTATTGTAGAGATGAGGTCTCGCTGTCCCGGCGGGTCTCGAACCCGCAGGTTCAGGCAATCTACTCACCTCAGCCTCCCAAAGGCACGGGATTACAGGCTGAGCCACCGAGCCCGGCTATTTTATTTTTTTGAGTCAATCTCACTGTGTCCAGGCTGGAGTACAGTGGCACAATCATGGCTTACCGTGACCTCAATGTCCCAGGCTCAGGCAATTTTTCTTCCTCAGCATCTCAAGAAGCTGGGACTACAGGTATACGTCACCATGGCCAGTTAAGTTTTTGATTTTTTTGTAGAGATGACGTCTTGCTATGTTACCCACGCTGGTCTCAAACTTCTGGGCTCAAGTGATCCTCCTACTTGGGCCTTCAAAAGTGCTGGGATTACAGTTGTGAGTCACTGCACCTGGCCTATTTTATTTTTTAAACTGTTCAGTAGGACACAGACTTTAAAAGGGCAGATAATCTTGTCTGTTTTGTTAATACGATATTCTCAGAGTCCAAAGCAGTGACTGATAGGCACGCAACAAACACTTATTGAATAAATAACAGTCAATTTAACATAGTCAAGACAGAATTCTTCTTCCCTAAACTTGTTTTTTCTGGTCTTCCCCATCTTTGTAAATGACACCTAACTATCTACCTAGTTAGTTAAGCCCCCAAACCTAAGGATTCTCCTTAATTCCTCTCTTCTTCCCCATATTCAAAGTATCACCAACATCTGTCCACTAGACACTCAAAAATAGAGCCCAAATATCTCCCTTTCTCTCCACCTCCCCTACCTCAGTCCAAGCCACCATCACCTCTTAACTGGACCAGTATAACGGCCTCAAAACTGGTCTCCTTGCCCCTCTGCAACCCATTTTCCCAATAGCAGCTACAGGTACCTTCCTAAAAGATAAAAAAGATAAAGCACATCAGATCACTTCCTGCATGAGACTCTAGTGGCTTTGCAATTCACTTAGAATAAAACCTGAACGCTTTATCTTGGCTCCCATCATACAAAGTGATCTGACCCCTGCTGACCTCTCTAATTTTCTTGTCCCTCCTTTTTCCACATTCCCACTAAAATCCAGACTCACTGGCTTTCTCTCTTCAAAAATTAACAAGCTCACTCTTGCTTGAGGACCTCTCTACTGGCTGCCCCCTCACTGGGGCTGGAAGGCTTTAATAAAAGTTAAGTGAATGTGGTCTCTCTCTCTCTCTCTCTCTCTCTCTCTCTCTCTCTCTCTCTCTCACCCTCTCCTTCTCCCTCTCCCTCATTCTCTCCCTCTCCCTCTTCCTTTCTCTCAAAATACCTTATGGTATGCCACTGGACATTGAAACCATGAAAAACAAAATCATGGACAAGGGAGAACCACTGTACTTGAAAACACACATCAACAGGAAGGTTATCCTTAGCAACTGTGCAACTTCTGCTAGGCATCATTAAGGAAATCAGTCATCATGTAACTGTGTAATTAGTATAATCCAAGGTACTCAGCTATCACTGTGGGGCTAACTTGCTCAATAAATAGAGCTTTAAGAGTGGAATCAAGAAGGCTTGGATAATTTTGGGAAAACCTGTGAGAAGTAAATAGACCGGGAAAGTTACAATGTGATTCAGAAAATGAAGCTACTAGACCTATCATTCCAGGCCCAATAAAAATTTTATAAAAGTTGGATACGAGAAGCAAAGATATATTGTCATACTGATAAACAAAATGTATCCAGATGGCCATGAAGATTCTAAACATTTCTCTGGCAGTAATTTCTAATTAGTTCCACGAATGCCTCAAAGAGGAGCAGAAATTCTTGTCTTCTGCCTCATAAGAAAACAGAATCTGTTCTTTCAGCCTGGGCAACATAGTGAGATCGTATCTCTAAAAACAAATTTTAAAAAGCTGGGTGTGGTGGTATGTGCCCGTTGTCCCAGCTACTCAGGAGGCTGAGGTGGGAGGATCACTTGAGCCCAGGAGTTCAAGGTTGCAGTGAGCTATGTTCGCACCATTGCGCTACAGTCTAGGTGACAGAGTAAGCCTTGTCTCAAAAAAAAAAAAAAATCTGTTTTTTCCTTTGTCTGAAGGTAGGTACTAAGGTATCAAATTATCTATTTTATCTCTCTTCCTTATTTAATCCCCAACCTGTCTTCTTTTCCCATTCCTGTCTTCAAAGATCCAGTAACCTGTTACTCACATTGATTTGATATCTGGAAGAACTGGTGAGACTATGCCATGAAAAGCTTCTTGTACTTTTCAATGTGCTCTCCAAAGGGCCAATACCAAGGGAAACCAGTATTCAGAGGAGCTTCCTTCACTTGTTTTATCTGCACATCCTCCATCAAACCTTCCGCTATGAACAAATTCCCCAAATACTTCACCAGCATTTCACCTTCTGTTTGTTAAAAAAAACACACTCAGCTAGGCTTCCTTCAACTCTGTTACCCACATGTCCTTGATACACAAACCTCTGGTTCTAAATGAATTTCCCATACGTTTCCAGCGTTTCAAGGATGTTCAATATTCTGCCTTCAAGACTTTCATCAGAGCAAAATCCATCTCTAATATTGACTGCCTGAAAATCAAAACCACCTGGAACAAGAACACTGACCTGGCTCTTATGACACTTAACATGGTAATTTTATGTCTGTGTGTCTGCCTCCCATCTAGTTCCTGTTTCTGATTTTAACAACAATAATTACAACAACAGTAACAGCAGCTAATAGTTACAGAAAACTCAACCTATACCACACTCTGTTCTAAGAGCCTTTACTTGAAGTATCTTCTCTCATCCTCTTAACCACTCAATGAGGTTGATACTTAACCACCCAATGATGTTGATCCTACCATTGATCCTTTTTTATCGAGGCACAGAGAAATTAGATAACTTTTCCAGGGACACACAGCTTGTAGGTAGTGGAAATGGGATTCAGACTCAAGAGGCCTGATGCCTCAATCCTTGCTCTTGGAAAGCACTCAAGGCTTCCTATATGTACATCGGATTCACAAATTATGTATCACAAAGGCACTCTCTAGACTAGTCCACACTGAGGGACATTCTGCAAAATTCCAGAATAATGCCCCTCAAAACTGTTAAGTTCATCAAAAAGAAGGAACATTTGAAGAACTGTCAAGTCTAGGGGACCCTAAATGATGACTGTGATATGGTTTCCTGGATAGGATTCTGGGACCAGAAAAGGACACTAGGCAAAAATTAAGGAAATCTGAATAAAGTACAGGTTTCAGTTAATAAGGATGTGTCCATGTTGGTCCATTACTTAACAGAAATGTATCATATGACTAAAGTAAGATGTTAACAGCAGGGCATGAGAATGTACCTGAACTCTCTAAAATATCATTGTAAGTTTTCCATAAATCTAAAACTATCCTAGACTATCCTAAAATAAACAGTATTTTATTTTTTTTTTGAGTTGGAGTCTCACTCCATCGCTCAGGCTGGAGGGCAGTGGTACACTCACAGCCACCCCAGTGGGCTCTGGTGATCCTTCCACCTCAGCCCTCCAAATAGCTGGAACTATAGGCGTGCGCTATCACACCTGGCTAATTTTTGATTTATTGTAGAGATGAGGTCTCGTCAAGTTGCCCAGGTTGGTCTCGAACCCGTGGGCTCTGGTAATCCACTTGTCTCAGTCTCCCAAAGTGCTGGGATTACAGGCTGAGCCACTGAGCCCCATCAATGGTTTATTTTTTTTAAGAAAGTATTCCCTCTCAGTAGTCTTTTAAAGGAGTGTTTTTTAAATTTTCATATGCATATTATGAAAATTTAATATTGTTAAAACACACAAATTAATTGAGGCTCTGAAGAGGGGTCTGAGGTTCTAACACAGGCCTAGGTGCTGCTGAGGCTTCCAACACATGAGCTGTGCTTCTAAGCTGCAGGGTCTTAAAATATCTAATGTGCTGTCAGATGCTTTTAGTTCAACTGCATATGCATAACAGGTTATTCCCAAGCAATGTTCTTGACGAAATTATCTCCTAGGCAACACTTTTGCTAGAAAACCCAGAAGGACTGGTTATTAAAACACAGATACACCACTGAATAGCTTTCATTTTAGTGACTATAATATGTCTTAGAATTAAGTTCTGGAAGGAACTGCCCTCTGCCATAGTGTGCGTGCACATGCATGTGTGTATTTGTGTATACACGTGTGCCTGTTTTTAAACCACTGAGTAAGGTAAACCAGAAGCTCTGGATGTGTCTATGGCAGAGAAGTGTTTATTGATTTGTCAGAACCTTCTAGAGGTAGGAAATACTCTGTGGTTCCCAAACAGGTTGCTCATCAATGACAGTTCAGTCAGGACAGTATCTGATTCCTTGTCGTGTGGTATCCTTTCTGCCAAAGAGGCCACAAAGAGAAAAGTATACTCTTGGACTAGAGTGTGTGTGTTCAGGGACCAGGGTGAAAGGGCTGGTATCAGCCTTTTGAAATGTTACAAATACAAAATTTTAAGTGATATAAACACAAAAAATAAAGTAGTTCTTTCTATTGTATATTTTATGAAACATTATTGCTGCAAGACACTTCCTGAACATTGGGATCTATGGTCAAATAATTCTAGAAAACAGTAACTTCACAAATGCACTTAATAGCGCAGCATTGTTTACCACAACAAACAACTACTGACCACCTAAACCAATGGTGGATTTGTTACATAAATTATGGAAATTCTTACAATACAATAAAACATAGCCACTAGAAAAATAATAACAGAATGGATAGGTGGGCATGACAAAATCTTGAGAAAAATGGTTATAAAAGTAAAAGCACATGGTGAAGCTATTTTGTTTAAAAAAAGCATATCCATATTAATGCTCACATTTTAAAAAATGCACTAAAATGCTAACAGTGATCCATTCTGTTTGGTAGAGGTTACTGATTGCTTTAAATTTTTTGGTTTTGGCTTATTTGAACCTCATTTTTTTTCTAGTAACATTGTTTTCTGTAATAAAGACACTATAAAAGAAGATGAAATGCAGTGCAGAATGTCATTATACCCTAAATAATTAGCTATTTTCCACATCTGTATAGTGATTATGTGATAAATATTCAACTTTTTTTTTTTTGAGTTGGAGTCTCACTCTGTCACCCAGACTGGAGTGCAGTGGCCACTCCTGGCCACCGCAGCCTCGACCTGCTGGGTTCTGGAGATCCTTCTGCCTCAGCCTTCCAAGTAGCCGGAATTACAGGCATGTGCTACCATGCCTGGCTGATTTTTTGATTTATTGTAGAGATGAGGTCTCACTGCCCAGGTGAGTCTCGAAATATTCAACATTTTATTCCTCATACCCATAGGAAACAAAAACTAGCTTAAAATATATGTACCTAGAAAATATAGTATAATTTTTAAAAACAATTTTGGGCAGGGTGGGATGTCTAAGTTTGAGACTAGTACTCAGAATCTTATGAATATTCATAAAAATATTGATAATAATTGACAAAATTTCAAGATAAAAATATAAAACTTTTGATCATGGGTGACACCCTAAGCACAGTTTAGAGACTCTAGTAGGCAGAATTCTAGGATAGCCCCTAAGATTCTTGCCCTACCTGGTATATAGACATTGTGAATATGCTCTGATTTCACTTTTTTTTTTTTTTTGAGTTGAAGTCTCACTCTGTCGCCCAGACTGGAGTGCAGTGGCCGCTCCCGGCCACCGCAGCCTCGACCTGCTGGGCTCCGGCGATCCTTCCGCCTCAGCCTTCCGAGTAGCCAGAATTACAGGAGCACGCTACCACGCCCGGCTGATTTTTTTTGATTTATTGTAGAGATGAGGTCTCGCCAAGTTGCCCACGCGGGTCTCGAACCCGCGGGCTCAGGCAATCCACTCACCTCAGCCTCCCAAAGGCGCGGGATTACAGGCTGAGCCACCAAGCCCGGCTGGGATTTCACTTTTATGATTAAATTATGCTACATAGCACAGGTGAAGTAATCTTGCAGATACCATATCCTTAATCAACTGACTTTTAGTGAATCTAAAAGACTATTCTAGGTGGACATGAACTCCTTGGGTTAGCCTTTTAAAGAGGAGTTGGGACTTCTCTGAAGACAGAGAGATTCAAAGTGAAAGATTCTGCTGACCTTGAAGAAGCAAACTGCTGTGCTGTGATGAGGCCTGTGACAGGAAACAGTGGTCAACCTCCACAAGCTGCTAACAGTCCCAGGAGGACCACCAGCAAGAAGGGTGGACCTCAGCCCTACAGCTTCAGTACTGAGTCCTGCCACATACCAGTGAGCCAAGCAGAGGACAAGATCACTGATAAGATCACAGATCCAGCAGACTCCTAGACTTCAGCCTAAGGACAGACCCTGAGCAGAGGCTGCACCTGTCCTGTACCTAGAATCCTGACCCGCAGAAATCATGAGGCAGTGTATTTGTGTTGTTTTAAGCCATGATGTCTGTGGTGATTTGTTATGCAGCAACAGAAAACTAAAACAGCTGGGCTCGGTGGCTCAGCCTGTAATCCCGCGCCTTTGGGAGGCTGAGGTGAGTGGATTGCCTGAGCCCACGGGTTGGAGACCCGCCTGGGCAGCGAGACCTCATCTCTACAATAAATCAAAAAATCAGCCCGGCGCGGTAGCGCATGCCTGTAATTCTGGCTACTTGGAAGGCTGAGGCGGAAGGATCGCCGGAGCCCAG